CCCTCCTTTCCTTCCTTCCTTTCTTTCTAGATTTATCTATTTGAAAGGCAGAGTTACAGAGAGGCAGAGGCAGAGAGGGAAAGAGAGGTCTTCCAACTGCTGGTTCACTCCCCAGGTGACCTCAATGGCCAGAACTGTGCCAATCTGGAGCCTGGAGTGAGGAGCTTCTTCCAGGTCTCCCACGCGGGTGCAGGGGCCCAAGGATTTGGGCCATCTTCTACCGCTTTCCCAGGCCATAGCAAAGAACTAGATCAGAAGTGGAACAGTTGGGACTTGAACTGGTGCCCATATGGGATGCTGGCACTGCAGTGGCTTTACCTGCTAAGCTACAGTACTGGCCCCAAGACTCACTTTCTTATGCTTAACATAATCTGTAGTGTGTGTGTTTGTGCATACAATGCCTGTATCCCCCACTAGATTATAAGTTCCAGGAGACAGATATCATGTTTATGTTGTTTATGTAGTAGTCACTCAAAAGACATTTGAGTGAATAAATGAAAACTACCTTCTCAAACCAGCTCAGGGAATTATCTTACTTAGCTCCATGTTTCCATGTTTAGTGTTTGTACCTTGTTTAATAATCCAACATGAATAGTAGAGGATACATTGACAGTTTAGTTCTTTAGGGGAAATAATATTGGAGGGTGTCTAGCTTTTATCTCTGAGGCCAAAGTGGGTGAGAGTGGGAGTCCCTTACAAATTGCCAAGAGACATGCTAATGTAGTGTAATAAGTGAAAAAGGCATAAGAGACAGAAAACAAGTAGTTTAAGAATGGTTTATTTCTGGAGGAAGCAATACTGTAAAGATCTTTTGTAGTGGCCTTAATGTTTAAGACTTGGAAAGTTCTATAGTATCTTGTTGATGTACTGCTAATATGGAACCATTTATTAAGATCCCCAAACTCCAGAGCTCCTGATGGGTTAAGTCTCCAGCTGTTATAGGAGAGAATTAAGGAAAGTACAGTAGGCCACTGCTAGCTGTTCTTACCTGTTCCCTTATCTTGTCTAACACTTGTCTTCATCATATTATGCCATGAGGTCATTTTCTCTGCATGCAGAGGGAGATCCTTGTCTTAGAGAAATGTACTTTCTTCTTTCTAAGCACTATGTGAGAGGGTGACCTCTTCAACTGTGGAAAGAAGTTGCCATTTAACTGAGGAGGAACTGTATAGCTTGTCATAACTTTCAATCATAGCTCCAGTTTTTCATTCTTTAACAGTGGTACTGGGTTTGGTCCGTGTCACAGCCATTCCATTTCTGATCTGGCTCCCTGCTAATGGCCTGAGAAAGCAGTGGAGGGTGGCCCAAGTGTTTGAGCCCCTGCCATCTGCATGGGAGACCCGAATGAAGCTCCTGGCTCTTAGATTCTGCCTGACCCAGCCCTGGACTTTGCAGCCATTTGGGGATTGATCCAGCAGATGGGAGATTCCTTACTGTGTCTTTCCTTCTTTCTGTAGCTCTGGCTTTCAAATAAATAAATAAGTATTTAAAATTAGCACTGCAGGGTGGAAGCATTTTGCATAACCACTTAGTCCAACCTTTAAGTAGCTTCTTACAGGGTGAGGATCAGTTTATGCTGGCTTGCTAGGAAAGAACACCATCTGATGGGGCTAATAATATCTGCATTTAGTTTGTGTAACTGAAATCTACAATAATAGATTAACCTTAATTTTGCTCCTAAGTTGCCTTTCCACCATAACTATCTCTAATAAATAATGGGTAGCAACATTTACTTGATTTTATATTTTTCATCTTTTAGTTTTTATACTCTTTAAACATATATTGAGGTCCCACCCTGTGTCAGGAAATACCCAAGAGCTGCATATCTTGAGGTCCTTAGGACAGAAAATAATGGCTAAAGATTTTTCAGGATTGTGGAAACACATTTAACTTCATATTGAAAAGCACAGTGAATCTCAAGCAGACTAAATACATCTATGATATAAATGACTGTGGTAAAATGAAAGTGTATCCAAAATACAGAGAAAATCTTAAAAGCAGAGAAGAAAGATTAGATTGCCTACAGAGGAATGACCATCCGATTGACAGTGCAGAAGATCCTATTCCTATCATCAGAACTCATGCTGAAATGACCATGTTTTAAGACACAGAAAGATTATGAGAATTTTTTATCATCAAACATTAAGTGAAAGAATTACTAAGAGTTAGACTTGATTTTACAAAGGAAGAAGCTGCACCCAGAAGTAGGCTATACCATTACAGAAGCAATGGCATAGCAGTTTGGGCAGGGTGCTAATAAAAAAAGCAATCTGAGCTAGTGGCTGCCTCTGTGCTATGGTTTGAGGACCAAGACATTTTTCCAGTTGAGTGTGTAAATACTTTGCCTTAGTACTCATGACTAAAATTCTCATGTTTGTGATGAATTATTTTCATATCAGGCTTGGGGTATCAGCTAAGAACTTAGTGAAGCCCCAGGCTTACTCTGATTCCCAAACTTCCAAACTTCTGTTGAGCCTGTGTAGTTATGGTCACAATAAGACACTCTGATATATTTGAAGGTGGATTTCTGCCACTGATGAGAACACTCAGATGTGCCTTCTTCCCCCAAAGCCTGGACTTCCTTCTGCCTCTGTAGCACCCCTGGGTCAGGTATAAAGTACCCCCATCCTGGGACTGGGGACTACCTTCCCTGTCCAGTTCTCCCAACCTCTGCAGGTCTGTTTCTTCTCTCAGGATGTAGGTGTGCCATGGAGGGTGAAGGTAGCTGATTTATAGAGTGGTTACCAATAGAAAGTTAACAAGCCTCTTAAAATAAGCAGTATACTGGGGCTGGCGCTGTAGCAGGTTAAGCCACAGCCTGCAGTACCAACAGCCCACATGGGCGCTGGTTCAAGTCCCAGCTGCTTCACTTCTGATCCAGCTCCCTGCTAATGCACCTGGGAAAGCAACCCATGTAGGAGACCCAGAAGAAGCTCCTGGCTCTGCCCAGCCCTGGCTGTTGTGGCTATGTTCAACCTCCCTTACTCTCTCTGTAACTCTGCCTTTCAAAATAAATTAAGTCAATCTTAAAAAAAAATAAGCAGTATATCCGTTTTCATCCATAGAAACTTCTCCCCCCTTTTTTATAATATTGAGAGATACTCAGTTTTGATTGAATGAGATCATACTCCCTTCTTACGATTTAACAAATGAATGCCTTTATAGAGTTTGAACAAAATTAACAGGCACTGTTGCAAGATTTATCTGTCCACTTATATACATTTCTTGGTCTGTATACTGTATTTCTTTTTTTTAAACTTTTATTTAGTAAATATAAATTTCCAAAGTACAGTTTATGGATTACAATGCTTTACCCCCCCCATAACTTCCCTCCCACCCGCACCCCTCCCATCTCCTGCTCTCTCTCCCATTCCATTCACATCAAGATTCATTTTCAATTATCTTTATATACAGAAGATCGATTTAGTATATATTAAGTAAAGATTTCAACAGTTTGCACCCACACAGAACATAAAGTGTAAAATACTGTTTCAGTACTAGTTATAGTTTTTGAGCTTTTACTTTTGAATAAATCACAGAAAAGACACTATCATGCCCTCAGGATATGTGTGTACACATGCAAGTGACAAACAGACAAGCACAGAAACACTGGTAGTTCCCCAGATGGCTGGGTACATGCTACAATAAGGTTGAAGCAGCAGCCCTAAAGGAAGGCAGGAGAAGGAAAGACCAACTTTTCAACTGGAGCATCATTTTTATGACAGGTGTGGTTCAACTTAGCCTTGTGGTAATCTGTGAGTGATTGGGATGTGTGGGGATGGTGTAGTAGATGATGAGAGTGGAGGAAAGAGATGGGCAAGGCCAAGTGTTAGCAGATCTTGAATGCACACTAGTGTATTCTGTAAGCAGAGCCAGTGGATTTCAGAGAATGGCAATGACAGGATCTGTCCCCTGTGTTAGGAGCAAAGCTGATGACAGTGTGTAGGATGCACTGGCAGCAAGGACACCAGCTGTATTATTTCCTTTAATTCATTCTTTACTCATTCAAAATAGATTCATCTGGGGGCTAGCTTTGTGCATAATGCTTTGCTTTTCAGAAAAGTCTTGGCACACACCAGGGAGCACTGGAAGCATAGCTGTGGTGGTGGGAATGCAAAGAGATGAGACACAGCAGGTAGAAAGGAGTGAGACCCCAGAAGAGGGTAATTTAAGGTGTCGATGGAACATACGTGAATGTGTGTGTGTGTGTGTGTGTGTGTGTGTGTGTGTGTAGATGGTGGAGGCAGCTGGACGTTGAGGTGAGGTGCTTAGAGAAGAATACATTTTGTAGGTATTTCTTCCTCTCAGGCTTTGAGGTCATCCAGCCAGTGAACTCCACAGGAGCATCCCAGCCCACAGCCAAGCTGGAAGTACCCAGGCCCCTAAAAGTTTGGCCACTTTGGTAAAAGTATGCATTTAAATCTTATAAGCAATCACACATCTTAGATACTGGTTTAAGAAGAGTGGAACCAGTTTGATACCGTAACAGTTCAAGTTTGAAGCTTAATTTTTTGTTTGCTTTTGCCGAGTGACTGAAAGGTCACTTTGCTTTTGCTGAGTCTCATTTGTTCTTGCTTCGCCTGTTAGCAGTGTGCAAAATGCAGCCACGTGCTCTGCTCTGAACTCCGATAGGCATCATGCGGCAAGGACACCAGAATGGCTGCGGAAGTTCGGATTTAATTCTGAATGAAGGAAACTTTCGTTGATATTTTATAATGAGAAGCACAGAGAGAAAATGGAAGTAGTTTAATGGCTTGTGTTGACCAGTGCTTCCCTGCTCTGATGGAGCCAAATGGCTTCTCTTTGTGCAGCAGGGGCATTGAATCAAACATATGGTGGTGTTATTATTCATTGTACCTTTTTCCCCCCTGTAAAGTAGGAAAATGTTGTCCTTTGGATTGAGTTAAATGCTACTCAGCATAAAAGATGTGGTGTGGAACAAAGCCTTCACTGTGGGCTAATGAGAACAAACACTCAGAAGGGGTCTCCTTCTTTCCCAGGTCTTCCTTTTCTGGGCACCTGGCCGGGATTCTTGTTGGACTGATGTATACTCAAGGGCCTCTGAAGAAGATGATGGAAACATGTGCAGGTACAGAACAGAATGTCATTGGCATGACAACCAGTTGGAAGCACATCTTAATTTTATTGTAAACAAACCAATCCCACATCTTTCTGTGTTTCAGCATAGGAATTCCCTAAGATGCTGACTAGTTAAACCAATAGATGAGGTGGCTGGTACAGTTCCTCACAGTACTCCAAAAGAGATGGTGCAAATCCAAATCTTAAACCTGAGCTTTTTTGGGGGAACAAATATCATTATATGTTGTTTACTGTTAGTTTTAATTCTACCCACAGAAAACCACACTTTCCTCAAAACTGCAGAGAACTAAAGCAGTTCTAAAGTAATACACCCTTCCACAATATTCCTTGAATTAATATATGTGCAAGACAGAGTTAAAAAAGGAAACCAAACCTGGAAGGAAGCTCAAAAACAGTATTTGAAAGACTTCAGAATGACCGCTGCGTCCTTGAAGGTTGAGACAGATATTCATGCCTGGGCAAACCAGCCTGTTACAACTTGAAGCTTGGCTGCTGTTTTTGTTTTTGTTTTTTGGTTTTTGTTTTTTTCTTCTTTGTTTTTCCCTTCATATTGATGCCTGGTGAAAATATTTTATTTTGAAATAAAAGCACTTTTTTACACCTCTTAATTTAAAATGCTATACTGGTTTTGACTTGTAAGAAAATTGTTTTGCAAACATGTGTTTTATAGACCATGCAAGTTTCAGTATTTCATCTTTTATTCATCGGAAGTCTTCTGAGACTATTTTACCTTTTCTTGAACCATAAATAATTTGTTTTCACAGTTTGTGCCAATGACTAGTATTTTTGCAAACCATATAATATTCATGATATTAGAAAGCTTTCCACACCACACAGGCACCTTTATTAGCAGGCTGTGTTGCCTTTTGGCTGATTTTTACAGGCTGTGTGTTGTATCTGTGCTTGTCTATTACTCTGTTTCTAGTGTGTGTGCTTAGAGCAGGCAGCAGGAATTTCACTTATGGAAAATGTCTAGTTTTATTATATTTTACATGCAATTTAATTATACAAATCTAGTGGGGAGTACTGATAAAGGGGGAAAATGACTCTTAGGAGTTTAATGCTTTGTTGTGTGTCTCCAGATTAAGTGGTTAGTAAAGCTTTCTGCAGATATGTTATGAAATTTAGGCAGGTGCTTTGTTTAATTTCTAAAGAGGCCTTTTTCCACAGTTATAAAACTTAAACTCTTTGTTTTCCTTTTTGAACCGTTACCTGTTTTCTTTGGAGACATTTTTGCAATCACTCTCAGTAATACAACAGAAAATATGAAAGACTGAAGGAAACATTCAGTGTGCTTTGCCAGCAGCCTGCAAACTCTGCCTTTTCTCCTGGTGCAGACAGACAAAGGATGCAGAGTGAGCTGAGAATTGCAGTGACACAGGAGCCCCATGGCAAATGTCCTGAGCACGTGGAGACTTTGTCTGCTGCCTCCTGGGGAAGAAGGGTCAGGGTCAGGGTCCTCCATACCCCTCCTCTCTCTTGTCATTCTGCAGTGTTGAGTTGACTGTTCAACTGCCTTCTATAGGGACAAGAAATTATATAGTCCCTTATTAGAAGGGGAAGGGGCATGGCTCTCCTAATGCACTTGTTGGGAAAGGGTTCTCTTTATAGTCAGAATAACAGTATTTGTACAAAGATATTGAAGCCCAATCCATCTTAAGTCTACAGGAACACTTAAGTGCCTTCAGTGAATTTGGATTACGCTTTCATTGGCCCCCACACACATACTTTTCCCTATAGATTTGGCTTCCAAACAATTGTTTAGAATTTTTTAACAAAGATCATCCAAATCATTGGAAAATCTGTGGAGCCCAACGACTGCCATTGAAATGTTTGTTTCCTTCATCTTTAGGCATGTTTTCTTCCAATATTGATTACCCAGGACAGCAGTACTACTTTAATAGTTCAGGTAAGTACTTTATTTCATTTAATAAATTGTAATTTTTTAAAAAATTAGAATTTGTTACTGTAGAGCTGACTAAAGATAATACTGCTTTAAGTTGCCGTAGAGAAGCGTTCAGGTTTGTAATTATGCCTACCTCATGCCCGGAAGCCAGATGGAGCAGTCACCTATGGAAGATATTTGGGTGGATTAGTAAGGATGGCCAGGGTAGCAAGTAGTGCTGACATCAACAGTTGTGTGCTTGGTGTGAGGTCTCTCGGGCACAGCAAGATTCACATGAGACCCAGGTCCCTTGATTCTCAGCTCATGACTGTGCTGCTGGAAGGGTGCTAGGAGTTGATTTCAGGTATACAGTTCTCCATAGACCACCCCACCTGCATATTCAGGAAGGTGCATGCTTACTCCAAGATGTTTGGGTAAGCATTCCTCTAACAATTACCATGTGACTTAAAGGGAGACTGTGTTTTTTACACATCTGTGTACATAGGTAGAAAGGACTTTCTGTTAAAAGCATATAACCCTTTTGAAATTAAGTCCTTTACATTCCAGTCTGGGTTACCTACACGGTAGTATCCTGGGCCAGCACAAGCAGATGGGTATTAAGCCATAGGCTAGGCTGGTGCTGTGGCTCAATAGGCTAATCCTCTGCCTGTGGTGCTGGCACCCTGGGTTCTAGTCCCCGTCGGGGCGCCGGATTCTGTCCCAGTTGCTCCTCTTTCAGACCAGCTCTCTGCTGTGGCCCGGGAGTGCAGTGGAGGATGGCCCAAGTGCTTGGGCCCTGCACCCGCATGGGAGACCAGGAGAAGCACCTGGCTCCTGGCTTCGGATCAGCGCGGTGTGCCGGCCGCAGCACACAGGCTGGAGCGGCCATTGGAGGGTGAACCAACGGAAAAAGAAGACCTTTCTCTCTGTGTCTCTCTCACTGTCCACTCTGCTTGTCAAAAAAAAAAAAAAAAAAAAGCCATAGGCTATGCAACTGAATGCACCCTACCCAACTCTGCCACCTAAGTTCATATATTGAAATTGAAATTCTAAACTCCAAGATGATGGCCTTAGGGATGGAGCCTTTGGGAAGAAATTACGTCTTGAGGGTAGAGGCCTTTATAACAGCAACCCTGTTGGCCATGTGAGGACACAGTGAGCGTCAGAATCTGCAGGCAGGGGAAAACATATGACAGCCAGACATATGACAGCCAGAGGGCTGTCACCAGAACTGGCCGTGCCAGCTCCCTGTTCTTGGACTTCCATCCTCCAGCACCGTGTGAAGTTACTGTTTGTTGTTTGAGCCCCCCCAGTCTGTGGTTCTTTACTATAGCAGCCCAGATGGACTAAGACACTTATTTAGCTTAAATTGTGGGTCAGCATTCTCTTCTTTAGAGGAGCAAATAATTAATGTTTTAGGTTCTCAGGGTTTTGTTGGCCCTATGGTTTCTGTTGCAACAATTCAGCCTGTCCTTGTAGTATGTTAAACAAGTGGGCATTGCTATGTTCCAATAAAACCTCACTCACAAAATAGGCTCTGAGTTGAGTTTGGACTACAAGTAGTAGCTTATTGACCCTGACTTAAAAAATATAAGTAGAGGAATTATTATTTTAAAAAATATGTATTACTTTTTACTGTATTTTCCCTGCCAGGGTTCTTAGCCATAGATTAGTCTACACAGTACTATTTTATGAGTATTCTTCTTCTGAGTGCCAGAGCAGCCACTGTGAGAGGGAAGAAGAGCCACTGTTCCTGTCTTTGCTTTATAATCTAGGAGCAGGAGTGTAGGCTCTATCATACGTTTGAAAGACCAAACAGCAGAAACAAATAGGACTAATTATGCTGTGGGAGTTAAATGGGGATGCATGATGTTGGATGGTATCAAATAATAGGATGACAGCTAATAATGCTACTATTTATTGAGTTTTTCCTCTGTCTCCTTCTCTCAGTCTCCACCCCCAAGCTGTCTTCTGAGACTTCTCAAGTCAGGGAGCCTGCTGTGCCCTGCTGTGTCCCTGCTTCCTGCGCTGCAACCTAGAAACTGCCTCCAGGAGCCTTTCCTTTATTTCCTGTCTCAAGGATCAAAGTCTGAACTACCTATTATACAGTGTCAGAACATCATTGTTTCATATGTTTTCCCCTGCCTTCTACTTAATTTTGGCAGGAGGGCTGGTGCTGTCCCTGTTGCTCCTTCCTGGCAGGCAGGAATCCAATCTAGCAACATGAACACAGTGGGAAACAGGAGGTCCTACAGAGGAAGTGGAGTGCTGGTCTTGATGGATGAGTAGACATTATGGAAAGCAATGGGAGCAAAGGGTTTTCCGGGGGCGGGGCGGGGGAAGAGGACATAGTTATTTGGAATTGTCAAAATGTGCTGGAGAGCCACTGATGGATTACCTTCAAGCTACATTTTCTACATAGTTCTGACGTCTTGAATCATGATTCTCAACACTGGCTGGATAAGGAATCACCTGAGCTGCTGCTCTAGCATATCCATGCCTTGAATTCACCGCAGACCATTGATATCAGAATGGGGGTAGAGGCAGAGACTTTGAATTTTTTTAAAAGCCTCCCTGGTGATTCCAAGGGGATGAGGAACCGAAGCCTAGGAGCTTGGGGTTTCCTAGGCTCGGGGACCTCGGAAAGGAATGCTATTGCTGCTCCCAGAAGAGGCTGCACTTCTGAGGATCTTACTTCTGATTTGGATGCATGCACTCCCTGAAACTTGGTCTCAGTGCAGAGGCTTAATTGTTGGACAGTGCCAGCTTACCTGCTTCTACCTCTGGACCCTCCTGAAGAGAGAGGGTGTGATGAGTAGTTATAGACAAAGCTGATAAGCACAGTCATTTGGAAGAGCACTTTTGGTCACTGGTCGTAAGGGCAGGTTCACAGCAACTTCATTGTAACAAAGTGTTCTGCCCTTGTGACTAGGAGAAGCTGAGTTGGGCAGGAAGGCTGTGATGATTCTATCACCCATCTGGTTTCTCTCTTCCTGTTGACTTTCTTTTTCTCTCTGAGGCAAGGGATATGGTATCTAACAGCTTCAAGTTGCTGGACAAAAAAAGGATTTCTTTTTTGATTGAGTTTTTAAAATCTCCAGAACAGACAGCAGTGTTCTTCTGGGCAAAGAGAATAGAAAGAAGATACCCATGCACAGACACGGCATAAACCATCACAGATTAGCCAGTCCCCAACCTTGCATGTCATCAGGGAAATTGAGGCAGAGAAAAGTGAAGTCATTTGGCTAAAGTCTCAGAGGTGGTTAGTGCTAGAACTAGAACAGGATGATTCCTAGCCCTTGCATTTTATGCTATACAGAGACATGAGATGGGTGCTTTGCCAATTTAACCTTACAAAATAGGTAATTCCATTTAGTGTCTTCTCTCCTACCCCCCTCCATTTATTTAAAAAGAGAAAGAAGAATAAGGGAAACGTGCTCCTCACACAGCACACAGGCCAGAGGATAAAAGACAGAAATAAAAGTCCTTTTTACCTTTCTTTCTTATCCTCTGTAAGATTACCACATTTATATTCCTTCCTCTGAAGTGATTGGATTTCTTCAAAGGCAGAGCTGCATGAGGCCAGGTGGCCATGCTAACGGTCATCTAGGGAACTTTTATGGAAGCATATGTATCTCTTACAAGTAATGATTTATTCTTAATATGGCTGTCCCTAGCTGGAAAGTCTTTATAGGTCAAAGAGCCTCATGAATGTTTAAAAAGCTGTTACCAATTTTTCTAATCTTGCTGGTGTTTCTTGATCTCCTTTGCCATCAAATCCTGGTATGTGTATGAGGAACAGATGGAGTGGTTAATAGAATAATGATAACCAGAACTTCTTTTACTACAAAGCCAACCTATATAGCAGAAAAAAGTACATTAAACTAATATTCATCACAGTATATAATTTAAGCTTATTTGCCTTAAGTGTTTGATTGTTAGGTTTTTCAAGGAATGTTTGTTAAGAAGATTTAAAAGCCTCTGATTGAGCCAGTGGAACAGCTGTAGAAAATTTTTCATCCTAGGAGGCCTGTTTTCATTCCGATAGATATTGATGAGATCTTTGGGCTTGTTGATGATTTATGATTGATGATATGGAACCTTTAACCACACCAGTCTTTTTGACTTAAGGCCCCAAAACTTCCTGCTTCTCTGTCCCCATGTTTCGTCTGACAAGTACCAAATTAGATTTTATAATATTCAGATGTTTAGAGTTTTCGGCTTTATTTCATTAAAGCACTGCCAAGTTGTTTTTAAGTAGAAATAACATGAAGAAAAATGTCTTTCTGTATCAAGAAAGTGTTGTTCCAAGTCACTGCAAATATCCTTGGCAGTTAAAACTATAGATGCAGGTAGTGTCTGTGTGGATGAGCATGCAGACAATTTGAATTATTTTGTGTTTTGAATTTTGGGTGCTGGATAGGTGGGAATGCTGCTTCCTTAACAGAATGACTTTCCACAGGGGTACGAAAGTGATAATGAGCCATGTGGGAAATTACCCAAGATGCTATCTGTGTTGCGGTGAAATAATTGGCCCTCTCAGGGAATTGGGCGGTCTCTGTAGTCAGAGATTGCTGAAGCATCCCATGGTATTCAGTGACTTAACCATAAATATTCCATTAGTGTTTTGGAATGGTTGCCCTTTTCTTTTGTTCTTTGTGAAGTGGATATATAAATTTTGTTTTTGACCATTCACCCTCACATGAAAGGTCATTTCTTGGAGAGGAGAATAGAAGGCAATATTCTTAACACTGCCACAGTCTTCTTTACTCTCAGGGTAAGAAACTTACTGGTGGAGTTTCCCAATCCAGGAGTAGGAGCTGAATTTTTCTGATGATTCTATTGAGTAGAAACCAATTAGAGAAGGAACGTGCATATTAAAGATTGTTATTCAGTTTCCCATTCGATCCTAAATCTTTGCAAGGATTTGGAAAATTTACTTACCTCCTTCTCATGTTCCAAATATCAAATTGCTAATATTCTGACAAGAAAAATGGGAAGAATATGGAAGCTGGGTTATTGGACATAGTAAGTCCTCACTGATTTTTACTGCATTAAGAACAAGACTTTTCGCAATTAGCCTTCAGAATCCTTAACACTTATTTAAGGTTACTTAAATTTTCTATTTTCCAGAACACTCAGCAAAATAGAACCAAATTAGAAGAGTATCATAATAATCAAATTTGAAATGGGCAATATACTCGAGTGGACACTTTTCCAAAGAAGCTATGTTAGTGGTCAGCCAGTAGATATTTAAAAAGATGTTCAATATCATTAGCTATCAAAACCATGAAAAGATATTCTTCAAACTCACTAGAATGACTGTAATTAAAAACACAGATAGCAGCAAGTGTTTGTGAAGACACAGAGAAATTAGAATGCTTGTATGCTGCTTGTGGGAATGTAAAATGGTACAATCACTTTGGAAAACATTCTGGCACTTCCTCAAACAGTTCAACAAAATTGCCTTTTGATCCAGAAGTTCCACTTGTAGGTTTATACTCAAGAGAAATAAAAGCATATGTCCACAAAAAAAACTGGCTCACAAATGTTTGTGACAGCATTGTTTATCATAATCAAAAGATACAAATAATCCAAAAGTCCACTAACTAATGTATAGGTAAAATGTGGGCTGTGTAAACAGTGGAATATTATTTGACCATAGAAAGATTCATGACACATTGAGGAGTCTTGAAAACATGCTAAGTGAAATGAACCAGATATAAATGTATATTATTTTATTCTATTTGCATGAATTATCCAGAATGGGCACATTTATAGAAATAGAAAGTAGAGGTATGGGGCCAGCGCTGTGGTGTACCAGGTGAAGTCGCCACCTGCAGTGCCGGTTTGAGACCCAGCTGCTCCACTTCCAATCCAGCTCTTTGCTATGGCCTGGGAAAGCAGTGGAAGATCGCCCAGGTCCTTGGGCCCCTGTGCCCGAGTTGGGGACCTAAAGGAAGCTCCTGGCTTCGGATTGGAGCACTCCAGCCATTGTGGCCAATTGGGGAGTGAACCAGCAGATGGAGGACCTCTCTCTCCCTCTCCCTCTCCCTCTCCCTCTCCCTCCCTCCCTCCCTCCCTCCCTCTCTCTCTGCCTCTCTGCCTCTCTGCCTCTCTTTCTATCTCTGTGTAGCTCTGACTTTCAAATAAATAAATAGATAAATCTTTTTTTTTTTTGAAAAAGAAAGTAGGTGTAGTGGTTTTTTAGAGATGAGATGAATGGGAAATAGAAAGATATTAACTAAAGGGTACATATTTCATTTCTGGGATGAGGAAAGTGTTAAAACTTGATTGTGGTGATATTAGTACAACTGTGTGACTATACCAAAAACCATTGAGTCATACATTTTTAGATGGTGAATTAATTCTATGGTTTTCCAATGTTTTAGTCTGTTTTCTATTATTATAACAAAATACTTAATTCATAAAGAATAAGGGTTTATTTAGCTCATGGCTTTTGGGACTGAGAAGTCCAAGAGCATGGTGCTGGCATCTTGTTGGCTCTGATGAGGGCCTTCTTGTTGCATCACAGCTAATGTAGTGAGCATCATTGTTCCTCTTCTTATAAATGCCATCTAATGCCATTGTGCGGCCCAACCTTAATGACCTTGTATAATCCTTATTACTTCCACAAGGCCCTACCTCCAAATAATATCAGTGTAAGACTTTGGGGATTATGTTTCTAACATATGAATTGTGAGGACACGCTCCAACCATAGCAGTCAATTGTATCTCAACAACGCTGTTACAAAAACATCATCAATAGACAAATAATTTAAATAAACACATAATTATATTAGCTTATCAGCTGAAACTAGTGTGTTTTATTGTCATTTCAGTGCTTCTGCAAAAATGAAGACTAGAGTGCTGGCAATTTTTATGAGAAATAAGATGTTTCCCTTTTAATCTTATATTAAGGAAGTATTTTATCCATGACCAATACAAAAATTGTGAATATGAAATCTCAACTAGTGCTGCTGTGTAGTGTTCCTGTTCTGTATTTGATTGTGCTTTTTTTTTTTCTATTTTCTTATTAAAACCATAACTCAGTCAGGTACTATGTTGGTTGATATGGAAATGCATAACACAACATAGTAAAGGTTAGGAATTTTCATCAACAGGAAAAAACATATTAAACATTTGAAATATCATCTTCATAGATTATGATATTGAGAAGAGAAAAAAAGAAACAGACTGTAACTTCTCTCTCATTACTCCAGAATAAGATTTATCATCTTCTTTAGGAAAAAATTATTTTCCAAATGACTTCTGTTATTGTTGGCAATTAAACTGACAGGAAAGTTTGATGGAATTATCTTGCAAAAGTGATTTTTTCTGTCTTACCGATCGTCATTATTGCAATATCTGAGTTTGACACATAAAGCATTATTTAATGATTAGGTTATTTCTTCTCTTTTATCTAGCAGATTTTTAAATATTTATTTATTTATTTATTATGAGAGGAAGAAGGGGAGGGAGGAGAAGGAGGGAGGGAGCAAGAGGGAGAGAAAGAGAAAGAAAGAAACATTCCTCAAACACCCACAACAGCCTGGGGCTGGTCGGTTTGAAGCAGGGTGCTAGGAACTCAATCCAAATCTCCGTGTGGGTGGCAGGAACCGAGTTACACCACTGCCTCCCAGGATCTGCATCAGCAGGAAGCCAGAGTCAGGAGTGAAGCTGGGTATAGAATCCAGGTACTCTGATTTTTGGAAAGTGCCATTCACCAGGCTGAAATTGTGGCATAGCAGTTTATCTCAAAATACCTACAACATTTGCATCCCATATGGGAGTGCCAGTTCAAGTTCTGTCAGTTCTACTTCTGATCCAGCTCCCTGCTAATGTGCTTGGGAAAGCATCTGAGGATGGCCCAGGTACTTGGCCCCTGCCACCCAAGAAAGAGACCTATGGGGTTCGTGGACTCTGTGTTGGACTTGGTCTAGCCCTGGTTGTTAAGGCCATTTGGTGAGTGAACCAGCGATAGAAGATATCTCTTTCTGTGTTTCTCTCTTACTCTGTAGCACTCTGACTTTCAAATAAATAAATAAATCTTTTTTAAAAATTGAAGTTTTGTTCATAGAGACTACACTGTCTGATACAGAATTATGATCACAGAGACAGACATTGGCTAGTGCACCTCGACCTTGTTATTATTCTCTGAAGTATAATTCCTCACACAGAAATTTTATATTGTATGTGTTAAACATTGGTCTGCTTCTCATTGTTTGGGGGCCACACGAAAGTAAGGGTTTATTGACTGGTGTCTTCAGTATTTTCTTGGCTCAGGTTAAGACTTCATCAAAAAAATTCTGAGTATTGAATAGCTCCAAGCTGAAAGAATTCACTCTGTATGTCCGTAACTCCTGCCAGCCCTTTTCCAAGACCTCTAACCACCTAAATTAATATTTCCTTTTCTCATTAGCCCATCAGAATTTGTTCATGTCAGTCCCCTCCTGGGCCCCTGAGGATAGAATAGTAATGAGACTATCATTGCCCACCCTCATGGAGATATTCTCCCTAGTTCATCTTTTCTTATTTTGAGGACTATTATTATACTCAATGACATGAATTATATGCATGTTTTTGCTTACACAAAGCAAAAGTGTGAAACAAAAGAGAAGTCTGTAGCTGTGTTCTATAAGCTGTTCATTCTGCTTCCAGGCTACTCGGGATATCAGGACCATTATCCATACAGCAGGCCAGGTTCCTATGAACAAGCACCAAGGAACTATGATGTGTACACGGCAGGACTGAGTGAAGAGGAGCAGCTGGACAGAGCACTAAGAGCCAGCCTCTGGGACCGAGGTAGGAGTCTTACACCCTTTAGTTATTTTAAAGCACACCTCACATGGTGAGGTGGTCTGAAAAAGGACTATTTGTGGCGAGTTAAACTTCAGTTTATAAAAAGGCTATGTTGCTGAAAACAATGTGTGCTGATTGTGATTGCGAAGAATGGGGTGTGATGCCATATTCCCAGCAACCAAAGCTGATAAGGTGCCAGACTGTGTATGTATTGTTAAAGTGGTTCTTTTTATAGGCCTGCTCTGCTCAGTGCTTTGACATTGAAGTCAAGAAATTTAAGAAATAATAGTAATAAAATCTTAGGTGCACACAAAAAGGAATTCGTGCCTGTAAAACGAACTCTATGTCACCATTTATCAAAATGTTGCTCATACACTGCCCACAGATCTTTCCCCAAAGTAACATTGACTGAGAATTCAAATTCAAGATTTAATGCTGTTGACCCAATCTCTCTGGGGGCAGAGTCTAACAATTTGTATTTTTATTTTTTAGTTAGTGAAGTATTTCTTTATTTTTAAAAATTTATGTAAAAGAAACAAATTTCATGTATTCCATATCTACAGTTTTAAGAACATAATGATACTTCCCACCCCACCCTCCTTTCTTCCCTCACTCCTACCTTCCCTCCTCATTCCTTTCTTATTTTTCTTTTAATTTTTGCAATGACATACTTTCAGTTTACTTTATAATCACAGGCTTAGCCCTCCACTAAATAAAGAAATTAAACAAGTAAGTAGAAAAACCACTGTACCTCAGGAGTATAAACAAGGCCTATAAACAATAATCAAATCTCAGAATGTCAATTTTGCTCATACACATTTTATTTTTGGTATCTGTATATCAGTTACCACAAATCAAGGAAAATATATATTTGTCTTTTTGGACTGGCTTGTTACACTAAGCAAAATGGTCTCCAAATGCATCCATTTTGTTGTAAAAGAAAGGATTCCGTTCTTTTTTATGGCTGAGTAGTATTCCATCACTTATGTGTGTGTGTGTGTGTGTGTGTGTGTGTACGTTTGTATTTACATATACATATACATACAATTATTTCTTTATCCGGTCATCAGTTGATGGACATCTGGGTTGATTCCCTATCATAGCTTTTGAGTTGAGCTGCTGTAATATGGAGGTACAGATACCTCTTTCATATGCTGATTTTGTTTCCTTGGGTAAATTCTGAGGAGCAGAATGGTTGGATCATATGGTAGATCTATTTTCAGATTTCTGAAGAATCTCCAGACTATCTTCCATATTGTATGTACTAGATTACATTCCCACCAACAGTGTTTTAGGGTAACTTTTTCCCCACATCCTTGCCAGCATTTGTTAGTTTTTGATTTTTGGATGATAGCCATTCTAAGTAGGGTGAGGTAAAACCTCATTGTGGTTTTTATTCGGACTTCCCTGATAGCTAGTGATCCTGAGCATTTTTTTTTTTTTTTTGACAGGCAGAGTAGACAATGAGAGAGAGAGATAGAGAGAAAGGTCTTCCTTTGCCGTTGGTTCACCCTCCAATGGCCACCGCGGCTGGTGCACTGCGGCCAGTGCACTGCGCCTATCCAAAGGCAGGAGCCAGGTACTTCTCCTGGTCTCCCATGGGGTGCAGGCCCCAAGCACTTGGGCCATCCTCCACTGCCTTCCCTGGCCACAGCAGAGAGCTGGCCTGGAAGAGGAGCAACCGGGACAGAATCTGGCGCCCCGATCGGGACTAGAACCCGGTGTGCCAGCGCTGCAAGGCGGAGGATTAGCCTAGTGAGCCGCAGTGCCGGCCCTGAGCATCTTTTTACATGTCAATTGGCCATTTGTATTTCATCCTTTGAAAAATGCCTGTTTATATCCTTAGCCCATTTCTTAGCTGGATTGTTTTATTGTTGAGCTTCTGGAACTCCTTATATATTCTGGATATTACTCCTTTAAGAGATGTATAGTTTGCAAATATTTTCTCTCTTTCTGTCGGTTGCCTCTTTATTTTGTTGCCTGTTTCCTTTGCTGTGCAGAAACTTCTGAGCTTCATGTCCATTTGTCTGCTTTTGCCTTTAATATCTGTGCTGCTGTGGTCTTATCCGATTGTTGCCAATGCCAATTTCTTGCAGTAAAATACCTTTACTTTATATTCGAGTAATTTTTATTTTTTACTCAAATAGTTTGATGATTTCAGGTCTTAGGTTAGATCCCTGAGTCAATTTTTATATCAGGTGTAAGGTTGGCATCTTGTTCCATAAATCTGCATGCACAGATCCAATTTTCCTGGCACCATTTGTTGAAGAGACTGTCCTTCTCCAGGGAGTGATTTTAGCTCATTTGTCAAAGATTACTTGGTTGAAGATGTGTGAATTAATTGCTGGAGTCTCTAATCTGTTCCACTGATCTACATGTCTATTCTTGTGCTGATACCAGACTACTTTTAATATAACTGCCCTGTAGTATGTTTTGAAATCTGATATTGTGATGTCTCCAGCTTTATTTTTATTGTTTAGGATTGCTTTAGCTATTAAGGGTCTCTCGTGATTCCATATGAATTTTAGGGTCATTTTTTTTCTAGATCTGAAGAGAACGTCTTTAGTATTATAATTGGGATTGTATTGAATCTGTAAATTATTTTGGGTAGTATATCATTTTGCTGATATTAATTCTTCAGTCCATGAACTTGGAAGATTTTTCTGGTTTTTATATTTCTTTCCTTAATGTTTTGTAATTTTTTATTGTAGATTTTTCGCATGCTTGGTTAAATTTATCTCCAGGTATTTAATTTTTTTGTAGCTATTGTGAATGAGACTGGTCTTTCTCAGCCATGGCATTGTCTGTGTATACAAAAACGATTTTTGTGTGTTAATTTTATATCCTGCAGCTTTTGCCAGATTCTCTTAGGGTTCCAGTAATCTCTTAGTGGAATCTTTGGATCTCCCATGTATAGGGTTATATCATCTGCAAATAGGAATAGTTTGAATGCCTCCTTTCTCAATTGTGTCCCTTTTGTTCTTTTTCTTGTCCAATAACTCTGGCTAGAACTTCCAGAACAATATTGAATAGCAATGGTGAGAGAGGGCATCCTTGTCTGGTTCCAGATCTTAATGGAAATACTTCCAGCTTTTTCCTGTTCAATGTGATGCTGGCTGTGGGTTTGTCATATATTGCTTTGATTGCGTTATGTTCCTTCTGTACCCAGTTTGCTTAAGGTTTTTATTATGAAAAGATTCTGTATTTTATCAAATGTTATATTTGCATCTGTTGAGATAATCACACTTTTTTTTAAAGATGTATTTATTTATTTGAAAGGCAGAGTTACCGAGAGGCAGAGGCAGAGAGAGAGAAGTATTCTGTCCACTGTTTCACTCCCCAAATGGCCACAATAGCCAGAGCTGGGCTTATCTGAAGCCTGGAGCCTGGAGCCTGGAGCTTCTTCCAGGTCTCCCATGTGGTTGCAGGGCCCCAAGTGCTTGGGCCATCCTCCATCGCTTTCTCAGGCCACAGTAGAGAGCTGGATCAGAAGAGGAGCAGCCAGGACTTGAATCAGCACCCATATGGGATGCCAGGACTGGCAGTCAGTGGCTTTATCTACTACGCCACAGCACCGGCCCCAATCATACATTTTTTATCCTTCAATATGTTTTTGTGATATATCACATTTATTGATTTCCATATATTGAACCATCCCTGTATATCAGGAATAAATCCCTTGATTAGGTGGATGATGTTTTTGATGTTGGATTTGATTAGCAGTATTTTGTTGAGGATTTTTGAGTGTATGTTCATTAGGGATATTGGTCTGTAGTTAGAGTTCAAGTTGTTAATTTCCAGCTTCATTCCATTGTGGTTCAAAAGGATACATGGTATCATTTCAATTTTTTTTTTTAATTTGTTGAGACTTGTTTTATGGCCTAGCATATGGTATATCCTAGAGAAAATTCCATGCATTGATTAAAAATACATGTATTCAGCAGCTATGGGATGCAGTGTTCCACTAGATATCAATTATTCCATTTCATCAGTAGTTTAGATTATCTCTGTTGTTTCTTTGCTTTTTTGTTTTTTGGTTTTCTTTTTTGTCTAGTTCATCTGTCCATTGATGAAACTGAGATGTTGAAGTCTCCCATTATTGTTGTATTGGGGCCTCTGTCTACAGATCTGTTAACTTTTTTTTTTTTTAAGTTTTTTTACTTATTTGAAAGAGTTACACAGAGAAAAGGAGAGGCAGAGAGAGAGAGAAGTCTTCCATCTGCTGGTTCACTCCCCAATTGGCTACAAAAGCCAGAGCTATGCCGATCTGAAGCCAGGAGCCGGGAGCTTCCTCTGAGTTTCCCATGTGGGTGAAGGGGCCCAAGCACTTGGGACATCTTCTACTGCTTTCCCAGGCTTTAGCAGAGAGCTGGATCAGATGTGGAGCAGCCAGGACTTGAACAAGCGTCCACATGGGATGCCGGCATTGCAGGAGGCTTTACCCGCTAAACCACAGCACCGGCCCCAACATTTGTTTTAAATAGCCAAGTGCCCTTGCATTGGGGTGCTTACGCATTTACTATAGTCATATCTTCTTGTTGAATTAATTCCTTAATCATTACATAATGCCCTTTGTCACTTTTTTTTGTTTTTTTTGACCGGCAGAGTGGACAGTGAGAGAAAGAGACAGAGAAAAAGGTCTTCCTTTGCCGTTGGTTCACCCTCCAATGGCCACCGTGGCCGGTGCGCTGCAGCTGGCGCACCGCGCCTATCCAAAGGCAGGAGCCAGGTGCTTCTCCTGGTCTCCCATGGGGTGCAGGGCCCAAGCACTTGGGCCATCCTCCACTGCCTTCCCGGGCCACAGCAGAGAGCTGGCCTGGAAAAGGGGCAACCGGGACAGAATCCGGTGCCCCAACCGGGACTAGAACCCGGTGTGCCAGCGCCGCAAGGCGGAGGATTAGCCTAGTGAGCCGCGGCACCGGCCCCTTTGTCACTTTTAAGTTTTTGTGTTAAAGTATGTATTGTGTATTAGGATGACTATTCCAGCTTCTCATGGAATATCT